ATTTCAGAAACTAAACAGGGGTGAGTCTGGTTAGCACTTAGTACTTGGATGGGGGAGTTATTCATTTAATCACCAAAAATATATTCACTGAGCCCTCAGTGCAAGGCCCCATGGGGACAAGTGATATAGGCAAGATATTTTAGAAGGGAGACAAGAACAGGTGAGTATAGGTGTGCAACAAACACGGTACAAATGGAGGGTATTCCCCATACAGTGGTAGCAACCAGGATGAAGGAAGTACTCCTTCTGCTTGACAGGTTAAGGAAGTTTCACTTCAGAGAAGTACATTTTGAAGTGAGTGCATCAATATACTAAATAATATAATATATTTTAAAAAATCTAGTGCCAAGCAAGAGGCATTTTCCCCATGCAACTGAAATTTTGGAACTTACTTTTTGCCCCCTAAAATGACATGGATGTCATGGCCACTATTCTGATTATCATCCCTCCATAAAAATCCATAGAAATCACCCCTCAAATTAAGTTGTTGGACTAACCCAAAACTTAGTTATGCTCATTGATTCTGTGGGGTCAGGAGTCTGGGCAGGTCATAGTGGAAAGGGATTATTATCTATCCCACAATATCTGGGACCTCAGTTTGGAAAGGCTTATGATTGGGTATTGAATTAACAGCAAGGAAGTGGGATCATATAGATACATCTACACTCACATATTTGACAGTTTATGCTGGTGGTTGGTGTCTACCTGTTAGTGCCCTGGTCATACTCAATTAATCAAAGCCGTTCCAATTTTTCCATATTCAAAAGGAGGAGACAAAGATCCCACTTCTCAATAGGAAGAATATCAAAGAACTTTCAGATACAACATAGGTCTATAGATATTGTATTTGGCTCCCCAGAAACTATTAATTGGAAAACCTCCACATGGCTTTTCTACAAGACTTTCTCACACAGTATGGTGACTTCAGGGTAATCAGAAATCTTGTATGGTATTTCAATGCTACAAAAGCAAGTTTATACCAAACAAGGCAAAAGCTGCATCACTTTCTATACTCAGTCTTGGAAGTCACTCCTGCCATTCTGAATGCTGCTATTGTGTCCAGGATAGCCCCTGTGGGTACCTTTGACATGCTCCATTGGTCCATGTAGTTATTTAACACTTTGAAATTCAAAGGGAAGGACATTGAGCCCAACTGTTGATGGGAAGAATATTAATGAATTTGTGGATATGTTTTAAACTCTCTTTAGACACCCATCTATGAAACCACAACCACTGAGCATCCACCCATTGACTAACCAGTGCTAGGTAATAAGAAGAATAATGAGATATTGAAATAGAGTCTAGTTATGTGGAGTAGATTATGGTGTAGACAGGGGAGCTAACTTAGATGAAGCAGCCAGCAAATGTCCCTTTGAGGCCAAATTTAAGGAGAGAGCAGAAGAAGGACCAACTATATCAAGTTCTGTGGAAGAATATTCTAAGCAGAGAGTAGTATGCGCACATGGTATAAAGCATAAAAGAGGTTAAAGATTCAAGAAATTGAAATAGGATCCCAATGAGGACAAAGCATGTAGATAGAATAATGGTATGTGATAAAATTGGACAGGTAGATAGGAGCCAAACTCTTGGTGGTTTAATCGTTTGCCAACAACAGTAAACTGAGACCCTGACAAAACTGGGTCTCCCTCAGAAACTTGGCCCCCACTTTTCTAGCATCTGCTTTCAGCTGTCAGGTCACTTCACAGTTATTCAGCTATCTTCCTGGTCCATATTTCTTTACTCTATCAAAGCAGGGAGGGGCCCAATGACATCCACCGATGATGATGGTGACAAATAGTAAAATAGTAACTAACAAGTATTGAATACCTCTCATGTTCCAAGAGTTTTACATGCATCCTCTGAACTTAATTAGCAACCTTGGAAGGTAAGGTAGTACAGGATGGAATGTGATGTTCCTTTGCCTAAGGTCACAAAGCAAGTACAGACACAAACTAGTCTCACTGGTGAGCCCACTCTTTGAAATACTATTGCATACTGTAATTCTTCCAAATACCAAAAAAAATACAATTAGGCACCTAATTAACATTGCATATGTAGTGCTCCTTAAAGGTGAATATTTACCCCATTTCTCATTTTTATCCATATGTCTGATAAAAACATAAAGTCCAAATTAAGTTGTAGCCTGTGCAAAAAGCCTACCCTTTTCTCATGGCATAACTAAGCTTTTTCTCGGATAACTTCTTATTTGCAGTGTGGTTTAAGCATTAAGTCCCTAAACTTATACAAACCAGCATTTTGAGCTTTAGTTGTCCTTGGAGAGCATGGCATGTAATCAGTCTCCTTAAGCACTTTGAATTAGGTGATATGCAGAGAACAGCTTGCCTTTAATGGATCTCCTTACCTGATCTCAATAAGGACCTGTCTCAGTATTAAAAAGAAGAAACTCAATTAGCTCTAATTGCTGCTCTCCATGGATGTGTTGCCTTCTCAATGGCAGATGGGAGCTGCTTCGTGGAGGAAGTGGCGACTCTTAAATTTTCCAGGTGGAGATATTCATCCCCCACTCCCCCACCACACTTCTCTCTCCCTTCCAGTGTATCATACAACCCACAAATCTCTAAAACCTACAACTTCAGAGTTGGGAGTAGGAGTATTAGAATTTGGTGATATCCTCAAGAGAGGACAGTCTTATTCCCAAAATGTCAGGCCACTTGATTTTTCCTTCACTTGATTTAGTTGAACAAATGTTCACTGGGTTTGGACTCTGTGTCTGATACCATGTAGGTAATTCATTGGTTAGACTGAAGACTTTACAAGGTAAATTTAAATGAACCTTATTCTTTTGGGGCCAGACATGTGCTATGTACAGAGTAGGTTTTTATGCTTAACTTTATATATAACATATTTATATATTAAACTTATATTTAACAAATATATCAACGATATGAATGCATGAATGATTTAGGCTCCCTTTACAAGGACTCAAAGAAATGCTGGTCTCTCCCTGATTGTAAGAAGAAATGGTCAAGATTTTCTACCACGAATAGCAAGTTCTACTGTCGAATTTGCCCCAAGACAAATTTCTGACATTCTTATGACATGTTTTTTAGTCTTTACACTGGGCAGGTAAAAAAATTACCCTGTAGGATAAATAGCTGCATTAATTAGGTTGACAGATACATATGTAAATAATCACTATTGAAGGTAATCAATGCTAAAATAGAAATAGCTGCAAAAGTGCCACAGTGGCACATGGAAAAGGGCCTCAATTAAGAGGGGTCGTGAAGGATTGAAATGCTTCAAAATGTTTGGGACACTTACCATTTCATCAGTGAATGATGAAAAGGTGTTAATCTAGGAGAAGCAAAGCAGAAGTAAAAAGTGGAAACAGTATGTGCAAAATCAAGGGTTCACAGAGTATGAGACCTATTTCTAACTGGTGTGTGGGGAGGTCCTTGTGGCAGACATTGAAGCACTGGAGGGACGTGGACACACTTTCCTTACAGGAAGCCCACCCTGGTGATAGTGTAATGGAAAGCAAGGAAACTATCCTTAATGCATACCCTTGCAAGGCTTTGTGATCTTACTGCTGTAAGGGACCGACAATACTAGATGTATAGCTCGTACTTTCCCACCTTGGGTTTCCAGTCTAGAAATGGGAACACATCAAATTGTTGGGAATTGTTATGGCCAGTGGATGTTGAGTTGCCTTATCTTGGATGATTGTAACAAGTGTTAAGTCAATTATCTATGCTATACAATCTTTTGGCATTTTGGACACTGTAAGGAAATCCAGAAGTAGTGAGTGACAAGGTCCCTGTCACTTATAGAGCTTATAACTGGTCTGTGAAAGAAAAGAAGCCATCCAAGTGTCTAAAAGGTTTTCTATGATGATATAAAAGTGGACTGTTTAGCATTTCTGACAATTTATTAAACTTTGATGGATTTTAATTGGTAGTTTATTTACATGATTCCTACCTGAAGGGTACACTCTCTTCAGTTTAATTCCTTCACTAAGAGACAACAAATATCACCAAATTCATATGTAACTTTCGAGAACTGTCTGTACATCTGCAATTCAGTGTACCTTTTCTTTTACTGTTTTTGCACAAAGGGTGCTACACTATAAACACTAAGATATACCTTATGTTTTACACTTATAATATATTGTGGAGACCTCTCCATAGCAGCATCTGCAGAGCTGACTTGTTTTTTCTGTTGTTTATTTTTGTTTCTGAATATATTAAATTCCATTGTGTAGGTGCACTTTATTGAACAAGTTAGGTTGCTTTTTTTCTTCTTTTTTTGGTGGTGCTGAGATTTGAACTCAGGGCATCATACTTGCTAGGCAGGGACTCAACCGCTTGAGCCAAGCCTCTGGCCCTCTTTTACTCTTTTGTTCTTACAAATAATACTAAAATTAAAAAAAAAACAATGTTAATCCCAGGACATTTTTATGTCATTTAATTTTATCAAAACTTTGTGGGGGTGGAAGGGAAGACACTGAGATTTAAATTATATTACTTTTTCGCTTCTTCTCATCTCACGTCAAACCCATGTTCTCCTAAGGAAAGTCATCCCAATAAATGTCTTCGATGCCTCATTAAAACTTTTTTGGACACTTCAAGGTTCTGAGTGTCCCTCAATTAGAGGAATGATTGTGATCTTGGTGTTAGGGAAGTCTTAGACTCCAATTCAAATTCTGGTTTCATGACTCTCTAGTTGAATGGTCTTAAGCAAGTGAATTAATTCTTTAGTTTCAGTTGTGATATCTTTAGAACAAAGATAATAACAGTAGCTATGTCATATTGTTGCTATGAGAATTTAACACAACAATCCATGCAAAGGACTTGGCAGAGTGCCTGGCACCTGCAAAATGCTCAACAAATGAAACTTAACACACTTCGAGTTCATTTATGGGGAGAAAGTTGACAGAAAAAAGGAAAACTCATCCTGACACCAAAGAAATATTTCCACTTTGTTGGGGATTTCAATATGTGCCAAGAGCCACTAAAAATTTCAGTTTCTTTTGACCAGGTCTATGTCCCTTGTTGTACCAATTTTCTCAGGGCTATGTTCACATCATTGTTCCTCAGTGTATAAATGATAGGATTGAGGGCAGGGGTAACCACTGTGTACAGAAGAGAGAGCAACTTTAATACACCTTCATACTGAGGGCCTGATGGGAAGCCATAAACAATACCTAGTGTTCCATAATAGAGACTGACCACTGTCAGGTGGGAGGAGCAAGTAGAGAAAGCCCGCTGCTTCCCTGTGGCAGAATGAATCCCCCAAATGGTGGAAATGATGTAAGTATAGGAAGCCAGGGTCAGCAGAAAGGGGCCAAGGGCAAATAAAGAAGTACATATAAAAGAGGTCATCTCAGCTAATTGAGTATCCGTGCACGCCAGTTTTATGATGGGCTTTAAATCACAGAAGAAGTGGTCAATCTTGTTGGCAGAACAGAACGTTAAATGAAAAATGAGAGCCATGAGAAGGATGGGTGCCAGAAATCCAGCCATCCAAGAGGCAACAGCTAGCTGGAAGCAACCCCAGAAGTCCATGACACTGAAGTAGTACAGTGGTTTACAGATGGCTATGTAGCGATCATAAGACATTACAGCCAGGAGGAAGCATTCTGTAGCCACCAGGGAAGCAAAAAAATAAAACTGACAAGCACAGGCTGGGAAGGAAATAGGCACATGAGCCGATAGCAGTGTTTTCAGCATTATGGGCTCAATGGTAGTGGTGTAGCCAATCTCTAAGCAGGAGAAGTGGCCAAGAAAGAAATACATGGGTGTGTGAAGAGAGTCATCAGCTGACACCACAATTAGGATTACAATGTTGCCCATGAGAGTCATCACATAAATGGCCAGAAATACCCCAAAAAGAAGAAACTGAAGGCCATGAAGATTCCCAAAACCCAAAAGGATGATTTCTGAAATTTGAGTCATATTTTCTTCTTCACTGTTAGTCATGGTTTGGATCTAAAAATAAATAAATAAATAGTTGAAAAATCATCATTGACAGAATACTATTTTTAGAAAAAATCAAACTTTTTAGAAGCATAAGTGGCTTCCTTCTAGAAGTTCAACATTCTTACTTAAATAATATATTTAACTTATAACTTAAATAATATATTTGACCACAGGCTCTGAAGAGCTATTTTAAAGGTTAATCCATGACTTCAATTATTTCATCATATTTAGAATGCATAGGTTCATGAAATTGTGACTATGACACATAAATTTACACATTTTTCCCAATATTTATTTCAAAAAGTAGGAGGAAATGCTCAGTCTTTGGAGCTATTACTCTGTCTTTTTCTACTGCTGCTATTGGTGTTATTATCAACAATAAATACTACTAGTAAGTCATGTGTACATTGAATAAGATCTATAATAAAGTCTGTTACCTGTTCCATAAATTTCATGCCACTTAAATTCTGTGTATTATATTTAATCATGACAAAGGATGTCTAGACCTTAAGACTTATTTGATAGAAAGTTCTCTAAACATTAATAGAGGAGGCATGATGGAGCAAGAGTGAAGTAGTGAAGGGGGAGAGATGGTATGGAATAATGGAAAGACACAATACTTGAATTCAAATTCAGAGAAGCGAAGTGATCAATGAACATGATAACGATTCTGTAGTTTATTTAAAATAATAACAGGGTGGTCCTCATGCTTCTAAGATAGTTTCCTAACAGTGTTTTGAGGCTATAAAGTGGATCCTCAGTCTTGAATGCCATCCTAGGACTGTTAGATAGATTCCTTTCTTTTCCTGTCTTTTTTTTTTTTTTAAATATGGAACACTTCACGAATTTGTGTGTCGTCCTTCTGCAGGGGCCATGCTAATCTCTGTATCGTTCCAATTTTAGTACATGCGCTACCGAATCAAGCACTTCGTTTTCTTTCTTTTCCTTTTAAAAAAAAAAAAAAACAAATTCAAAGTCTGCCACTTACTGGCAGTGTGCCCTCGAACAAGTCACACCACTTCCCTGATAGTCAGTTTCCTCATCTATGGAATAGAATATTAATTCTGAGTAACATGTTTTGCACAACAATTGGCCCACATTTTGCACTTGATACGTTCATTACTTCATTCAACAAATATGTATTGCATGTCTGCTACTTACCAAACTTTTTGACAGATGCTTAGAATAAAATAGTGAAAAATTTAATAATTTTAAAGACAAGTCAGGAATACTTTCTATGTTTCATGGAGTTCACATTCTAGTGGGATAGAAAGACCAAAAATAAGAATCCAATAGAATTTTTAGTTGTTCACTGTGAATGCAACAAACAAAGATATAAAATAGGAAATATTCTACATGTATACTGTTTGGGAGAGGGCTATTTTGTTGGAGTAGTAAAGAAAAGAATTAAAAATTGAGTCCTAAAAACTGGGGAGGCAATAGTAATGTGGAAGAAGTGGGAAAAGAGAGGGTGACAGGGGGTGAACACTGTATAAGTACATTATATATATATATATATATATATATATATATATGTGAAATAGCACAAGGAAACCCACCAAAAACTGTGCAAAGGACAGGAGTAGAGGGTGGGTAGTTAAGAAAGAGTAATATAGATGGGGTAAATTTGATCAAAGCACATCATATGCATTTTGTAAATGTCACAGTGAAACCACTTTGTACAATTAATTTATGCTAATAAAATTGTTTTTAAAGCGTTTTTAAAAGAGTTGAGCAAGGAAAGATTGAGTTTGAGAGAACACAAACTAAGAAAAGATGATGGAGACAGAGAGGAAGAAAGAGTGAGAGAGAGGGGGGAAAGGAAAGAAGGGAGGGAGGAAAAAGAAAAGAGGAACAGGGCAGGTCATTCAGGTTGTTGTAGGCCTTGCAGAGGAATTCCTATTTTTCAATACTATTTGAATCCACAGAATGGTGTTAAGCAGCAATGATATCTAATTTATAAATTAAATCACTTTTGATGCTATCTAATAAATAAATTAGCAGGAGAACTTCATGAACAGACTGAGAGAATTAAGAAACTATTTCAGTGGACCATGTGAGGGACAATGTGATACCTGAATAGGCAGTTGCAGAAAAAAATGGAGAGAAGAAAGATTCAAGATACCTTTGGAATTAGAAATGCCAGGACTTAGTGACATATTAGATATGAGGAGTAATGAAAAGTGAATGATCAAAAATGACTTATGGGTTTCTGGTTTGAGTAAATGGTGTCATTTAGGTGATGAAGATTATGTGGAGGGAAAGTTTGGGGGGAAACATCAGTTCAATTTGCATTAAATTTTCAAAGCCTATGAGAATTCTGTGTGGAGAGGAGAAGCACACAACTGGGTTTATGAGTATACCTTTTGTATGCCAATGAGAATGACATAACATAGAGGGGATATTGATTAGACTTACCCAGCACAGAAGGGATATTGATGATACATAAGTAAATGAGGAGCTGACTTGGGGAGTGAAATTGTTTAGAAAATGAGAGGAAATGCGACTGAGAGCACAAATGGAGGGGTTAAATTTTGATAAAGGTTTTTTTCATTTTTACCAGGAGGAAGGCCAGAGAAAATAGTTGCAGTTAAGTTGTTACATTCAATCCTAAAGAGATGACTAAACTTGTGTCTGTGGCTTCTGTTCTCTCAAGAAAACATGAGAAGAGCTCATCATGGAAGAGTAAGGGGAGGGGAGGATATGTGGGAGGTTTGAAGGCAGAGGAAAACTATAAAACAGTCATCTCTGGAAATGAAAAGGCTATTTTTTGCTATAATAAATCTTATGATTTCCAGGCAGTATTGAGTGGCAATTTGATGGATGAGATCATGAATTTAGGAAGGTGCAATCAGACTGCTTTCTTGTGTGACCTTTTTTTGGCTATGTTCAGTTTCCTCCCTGGGTGGAATAGGCAGATAGAAGGCTTAACTCTGGTTTGAGATTTGCCAAGTTAAAAACAATGGAAGGGATGAGGGGCAGGAGAACTGGAAGGTACTTACAAATGAAGGATTGTATGATAGATGTTAAGTCTCTCCCTCTTCCTTCCAGTGATTATCACGTCATACAATGTGGAAGACAGAAAGAACTTTTCATGTGTCATTTGACTAACCATTTAATTTCCGAACTAGAAAAGGAGATCTGAACAGTAAATTGCTTTTCTTAGGATCAGAGGTCTAGTTTGTAACGGACACCAAGGTTTCATTTCCAGTTCTTGCTCCTTCCATTATAACATGCTTTTACATTTTTTTGCTCTCTTTACATCTCCCTTCAGTGCTCCAAACAAAGATCTTAATGTATATTATGTAAGTACATGAAGGAAGATTTGCTTTCTATTTACTAATTCACATGTTTGAAGCATAATACCACCATTTGAAGAACTTTCAGAACTTTTACTACTTTCAATCCTCCCAAGTCTCTTTCAAGGTATTTGGGGTTAAGTCTTTGATTTGTCTCATTGGATTTGCAAATGAGAAAATGGGCAACAATGATTACACCATCAACACATTGTACTTGGATTTCAATTATGACTCTTTCTCCTGGAGATAAAAAGTTAATCTTATGCATGTTGATATAAAGTGTGAATTTACAAGATGTTGATTATTATGAGCCAGGACTTACGGTCAGGTAACTGAGTAATAGGAGCTAAATGGGGTTGACAAATCTGAGATGAACAACAAATGTAAGAAATTGAGGTAGAATTCTATGATGGACTGTAACAAAAAAAACCTGCTTTAGGAAAAAGAGACTTGCAGAGTATAATGAAGTAAACTATTTGAGAGTCAGAAGAAGTAGTATCTTAGAACAAGAAGGGAGACCCTCATTTGGGCAGAAGGCATACTGTGCAAAAATGTCTAGTACTGTGAGACCTCACCGTCCATTGGTTTTGGAAAGAGTTTTTGAGCAAAGTGACTAGGGGGCTGAGGACAGAAAAGGCCGGAACACATATTTTTGGGGAATGAAAGACAAGAAAAGGATTTTTTAAATGAGTCACAGAAATGGGAGAAACAAAGAAAACAATGTCAGAGTCCAAGGAAGAACTAGAGCCATAAGAATCGTCAGTGAAGAAGGTGCTATGAATATGGAAGTGTTGGGGGCAGGAATACTGACTGCAGTGAGGTGGGGAGATAAAAAGGAAAAACAACAGAGATTGATTATAATTTCAAGAAGATTTTTGGTAACATAAAGGAGGGAGGAAGGGAGAGAGACAAAGAGAGAGAAAGAGCACCAAAAATCTAGGGATAGAAGAGAGGACAGAGGGAGGGTTTTTGTTGTTCTTTGCTTTCAGAAAAGGAGAAACTCAATCAAGATTCTAGGCAAATAACCTAACTACAGAGAGAAGGAGGTATGAAAGACATGCAGGGAATGACTGTTGGAACAAGAAGGCTCTCCAAGGAGGTTGGAGGGGATAGAAAGGGGAAGTACACAATTGAAGGCATTATCTTCAGGTGGGAAAGAAAGGGCATCCTTTAGAAGAGATGAAAGGGGTAAATGTGAATAGTGATTATGAAGATAATTACCTCATCTTTTTCCTTCCACTTGAGTTTGGAGACTTAAGCCATCCTTAGATAGCTATGATGAGCCCATGGTAAAGATGTTCACTTTGCTTCCTCAGTGCCTGTCTTCTTTTTCCGCCTATATTATAGAACCCAAAACACTTAGTGGAGACCAAAGTGGGTTGCTAACACAGGGAGCTGGTTTGCTGTACCACTACTATGTGGTTTGACCAGGAATAGATCCAGCGACAGCATGGCAGATATATTATACATCCTCTAAAAAGATCACACAAAATCTTAAACTCATAGCTTCCCACCATTCCTTTAAAACCTGTGCAATTACAATTCTCACTCTAACTTCCCTGAAGCTCAGAAGGTTTCAAAAAAGAACAACTTAGAGTATGTCACCTAAAGGCACTTTTAGTCTTCAGGAGGTTGTGGTCAAAGCATTTTTAGCTCCTGCCGTGACCTCCTTTGGGT